CCCCCCCCCCTTCACAAGCAACTACGTCTGCACTTTGTGCAGCAGAGACTGCCACTCCCGCATTGGTCTTACCAGACACCGACAATGCTGTTCTAGTCACAACACCACGACCTCCTCGGCCGCAGTATCCATGGTCGACATCGACCGAAGGAGGTCGGGACACTTTAAAGACAAAACAAAAGCGCTTAAGGGCTCAAAGAAACCGATCCTTATTTGTTTTGGAATTTTTCTTGTGTTTAAATTGGCTCGTACATATCATAAGCTAGATAAATACGCAAAAAAATATTTCTTGTCACAGGCACTTTAGTTTTGGTAACTACCTCGGGAGAAATTACTAAAAATTAAAAACATTCAAAAAGGCTAAACTTTGCCTAAAAGTATTATAACTTCATTGACGGCGAATGTCTTTTAGCAGGGCTGTTTTCATTGCTTTAGCATCGTGGTACAAAATTAAAATTTCATACAGCTGATTTTTATAGTTAATTGACGCTAACTAACAGTCAAATGGCTTTCTGCGAAATAGCGCAACAGCGTGCGTATTTGACCTTCCTAGTAAAAGGAAATTTTGCCAAATATATTATAAACAAATGATCGAATGTTTCCTTGTAAACTTAACGATAAATATCTTAAATTATCCTGCTCGACTTGGGCAATTTCTGCAAGTTCTGAAACAAGTAACACTTCTGGAAGGGATATTTGTCCTAAATTTTACGTGGCCCATGCGATTACTTATACAAATTCACTCCCTCCATTCCTCCTCCCTTCCAGACTATTTTCCGAGGTCATTAGCTCGCAGCCACTTAGTTGATTATTATTTTCTCTCTTTGTTATCTTCTTATATATGAAATAATTGGTCGTCTATTAATGATTTACCCGATACGGCACAAAAAGGAATGATACCAAAACCACATGTTTAAACAAAGTTTGAGTGGTAATTGCAAACTAACAACAGAAGTTAAGCGGAGAAGCAGACCGCGACGAAAGCTGACTACATCGTTAAAAGTCTCCTCATTGTCTAAGTGGCAAATCGTTACTTATATAACATAATAACAAGAGATCTGAAATAAGGAAGGACAATTCACTCTGGATCTTGATAGATACTCACACCCAAAAATATTCCTAATAAGTGCTACAGTAATGCTCTTGGAGTTTCCGATCCGCTCATTCTTGACAGCCTTATCAGTGCAAAAAGTAATTACCTGGTCAACGACCTACCATCATATGGACGTCTGAACGGTACCAGAGAAGATGGATGGTGCGCCGAATTAAACGATGACGAACAGTGGCTTTATGTCGATCTCGGGAAAGTTACTGAAGTGAGAACTGTTGCAACCCAAGGAGAACATGGTCTGTAATTCCGTTTATAAAATAATTGAAATGGTACGCGCGCTCTGATTGGCCATAAAACCATTTTAGATGAGCGTATGTAAACACGGTTTTCGTACCTCTTTCATTAGTTATTTTATAAAAGAAATGTAAAATGGTTTCTGTGTTTACATAACCTGATGTAAACACGCGGGAGGTTGGGAGAACACGAGATAAGCGTAGGAAACCACGACGCGAATTCAAAAAATCACATAAAGTTATATGAAATTCTTTGAAACAAGGGAGATCTCTGATAAACAACCTCAAGGCATTCGTGGAGATACATCCTCAGCGACTGGTCCGAATGGTGACACGGGTGGATCTATCTAATTCTCCGGGAATGCGAACAGCTACTTCGAGTTCCCAAACTATGAGGGATTAGACTTGGATAACTCAATCACATTTTTACGTTGGCTGTATCCTGAAAATACACACGACGGGCAAATATGTATTCAGTTACAAATCAAGTAGTAACTGGGTCGTTCACTTTTGGATAGTCCAGTATGGAAATCTTTTCGTTCAGTTCAGAAACAGAGAGCACTTATCTACATCCGTTCTGGACCAACCAGGCTCTGGCGTCATACCAATGGCATTATGTTGGTGCTTCTTACCACTATACAACTGTCCGAATAGCAAGTACATGGGTTAATGAAGTGAAAGCAGTACAGACGAATAATATCGGGGCCGGCATAACGTCAGAGTTGATGTCAAAGCAGACGATCCCCGTTATTTGACAACAAAACGTATTGCCATGCAGTTTTATGACGTAGCCTTAGCAGCAGAGCAAATAAATAAA